GCCAGAGTTACTCCTAGCCTCAGAGTTTCTTTCAAACTTGCTGTCAAAAAAGGATTTGCAGATACCAGTACTTCATGAAATGAAGCATGGTTCTTTTAACTATATCCTCAACTGCTATAAATTGATGACTCGGCTAGTTACACGATGAACATGTGATGTTGATTTAATAATTAGAGAGTAAAATATTGAGCACTGTAGAATCATCAATGCCTACAGACAACAGGCAGTTCAAAGATCTTTGTGCCACCAGAACTCTTGAGGGGAGAAGAAAACCACAGTTGAGGTTGACTCTCAAGCCAGCATGTTCACAGCTGGCAATCTACACCATCATTTGGAAAAGTAACCACCATGCTTTTTACATGCTGTACTTTATACTTTAGACTGACCTTAAAACATACATGTGGGTTTAATCTCCTGATGGTCTGATTTGATGTAAGGGTGAGGAGGAATGTCTACACTTTAATTTTAAAAAACCCAACATCCCCTGAACTTCTTTTTCAAATTTTGATTTATAATATATAATACTTATATTTTATATTTATATTTATATAAATTATAATATTTATAATTTATAATACTTTCATCTTGAAGATATAGAAATAAACAGATTGTACCATATTGGAAAACTTGAACAAGAATATAGGGGAAAGTGCTGATGAATGTAGATTAAACAAACCCAACTAAAAATCAAGTAGAAATTGCAATGGGTGCAGTTCCTTCTTTTCACTTTGATTTCTTTCTGGTGCCTTATCAATTTGTATTTGGTTGTTAATATAGACTTCAACATCAGCAGGATTCTACTAATTTTTGATCAACATTTTACTAATGTGTGATTCTACAATCTATGTGTGGGAAAGCAAAAGTGAACAACCCCAAATAGCACTCCCATCTTACATATCTTATTAGGAAATATTTTGTTCACCAGAAAAATGAACCCAACAGGAAAGAGTTAATTCCATTTCTTAAAGTCAGAAAACAGGTCATTTTGCCATCCCTGAAACAATTTCTCCTCTTCTAGCACATGCTCTGACTTCTGTTTGCAAGCTATTGCTATCTTAAACATAATGGCAGGAGTGTAATGGTGTGGGACACAACCTCCACCCCTTATGGGTGAGCTTGTTACATTGCAATGCACATTAAAAAAAAAAAGTATGGAGCTTATATTTGAATGCCACAATGTTGCTGAAATCATTTTGACACTGTCTTGACCTCTTCCTCCCATTATTGATGTCAGTCAATAAAGTTCATTAACCAAGTATATAGACAAAGACATGCCACTGGAGATAAGAAAAAAAATATGCCAGCCTTTGTTCTAGGACAGTGGTGGCTAACCTTTGTGGGCTCCCGTGCCGAAAATTGCACTTGTGCGCTCACGTGCTCGCATGCCAGCACTCAGAAGGCAATGTGCATGCGCATCAATGGTGGGATTCAAATATTGTTGCCACCAGTTTGGTGGGCGTGGCTTGGTGGGCACGCTTTGCATGCGTGCACATACTCTGCATGCACGCACATGCCAAACATGCACTTTGCGCAAGCGCAGAGGCATTTGCGCAGGCACAGAGGCGTTCTAACTTGCCTCCTGAAAGCCTGCACGATCCTGGTCGCTTCAGCAGCTACTACGTGGTACTATTCTGTACCGCGCAAAGCAGCTGCGCTTCAAATTCAGCAGATAAAAGAGAGTATGGGAGCCTGGGCCCAACAGCAGAGTGGTGGAGAGAACCAGTTTGGTGTCCGCTGTTCATCGCTCCTATCGGCTCATCAGAACCGGGCCGGACTGGTCGAATACCAGCATTGGTGCACATCCTAAGATAAATCAATCTTAACAATACTAATGTTAAGGAAGCAACAGACAGAGACTGTTTCTTACTCTCGTATATAAATTAGCTACTCTTGGGGAAATCTATCGGGATGATCTTTTTAGTAACTTGAAGGGAACTTTGCAGTAAGTTCAACTAACAATCTCAGTCACTGAAGTTAGAGCTGAAAGGGAAGGGAGGTCAGCAAGTTCTGACCAGTTCTGGAGAACTGGTAGTGGAAATTTTGAGTTCAGAGAACCGGCAAATACCAGCTCTGACTGGAGATTTTACAGTACCCTTTCCCTGCCACGCCCACCAAGCCACATCATGCCCACCAAGCCACACCCACAGAACTGGTAGTAAAAAAAAAATTGAATCCCACCACTGGGATATCCTACAATAATATTCCCAGGCACAAAGTGCCTTGTCATACCTACTAGTATTCCACCTGACAAGAGTTGCTAAAATAGCCCATTCTGATGGGAGTGGGCTGGGAGGCTGGAAAGAAGCAATTTATTGCTGGCTGAATAAATCAGTGCCAGTACACAGAGCCAGTGTATTCCTGGCTCACTAATGGATAGCAAATTATGTTACTCTTCTCCCCAGGTTGACTCCAACTAGACCATTTGATCACTATTCCTCTAGGCTGAAGATGAAGATGATGCTTAGTGCCTTGTAGATATCTAATTTGTACCAAATTCATTCCTGGGTTTGGACATAAAATTTTGAAATATAGCATCTTGCGTGTGATGAAACGTTCAACTAATCTTGGGCATAAAGCAAGAATCTGACCATAGCACTACCTTGTCTTGGTGGAATAGGTCTTCTCTCCTCTTTTTGGCTGAGGTTAGAGCAGCAGAAAGGCTGGTTTCCATGGGAGAGTGTTGATGAGCTCCACTGCTGAATTTGAATAGCTGTCAGTTGTCAAGCACCAGGAGATCCAGACATTTCAAATATGTGTAAACATTTATTGTAAGCTTATGCTCTCTACAAGAATCTGAACTACTAACAGTCAAGAAAAATTACCGGGAGTTAAGAATAGAAAGGAATTCAAGGTGGGCTGGACTGAGGTGTTTTTTGGGTGTGAAGAGACTCAAGACTGATGACACGTTAACCCTACCTTTGGGCTCAGCCTTGTCATCTCCTACACTAATTGGCAGATACTTCTGCCCAATTTCCAAATGCAAAGTTGTAGCTATTCTTGGGGTGGGATTGTGCCTTGACTAAATATGTCTGGGCGTTATGGTGTCTTCTTCATGTCTGCTAGGGCAGAAAAAGAATCCTGATAGAGTTCTTTCCACATGGATGGCAGAATCATTTGGGCATATTAATAGGAGTGTGAGAGTGAAATCCATCTTTCTTTCTTTTTTTAACATTCCAGGGGAATTAAGTAAAAAGAAAGAAAGAAACCACACTTTTTGTAGTAAAAGAAACTAATAATCTAAAATATGCTAGGTGAAATACATTAAACTAATTATTTCAATTATGAAAAAAATAAGCTGCTGATGAGGCAACTCTCTCCTCCCCCCAACCCCCCCAAAAGCACACATATATTGACCCTCTTCTAATTAAATCATTACTTTTATGTATCCTGCAAAGTTCTGTAGTTTATCAGAATTCATAGGTGTTTCAACTAGGACTTGATTATACTTGCAAGTCTACTTTGACTAAAGTGTAAAGGCAGAACTCACATAAATCTGAATATGTATTTCTTACTATGGTTTATGCATAGCCCCAAAGAACTTACAAATAAGCACACATTCATAAATATTACACTTCACTTTATTTTTTAATATACTTCATCTATGATTACATTGTGTATGGATATTGATTTAAACATCCTATTGATATTACCACAACCTCCCCATGGAGTTGTTTTTCTAGTGTATTTTTCTGCTTGGAGTTTCCCCTTGTTTTTCACTGTGCTTGCTTTGGCCTCACAGCCAAGCTACCATTGCATGATATGATGAGGGAGTGTTGTTTTTCAGCCATCTTGTCAAAGAACCTGATACTTATCTGGGCTGGCAGGGAGTGACTGGTTCAACATGGCTGCCATGCTTAAGAGATGACAAGAACTTGGATCTCTCTACTCTGTCTTAGTAACTTAACCTCTGGCTTCATGCTGGCTCTTTACATGCCACTTTATATTTATCTTTATATTAAATAAAGATTCCGTTCAATGATGCAAGTTTAATTAAACCATTTATTTGAAGCAAAATAAAACAGACAGTTGGGATTACATAGAAATACAAATTTCAACCAAAGCACTAAACTGTTTTCATTAAAAATGTAATTTCTTGCTGCATTAATTTAGATGTTCTTGGACTGATTTAGATCAGTTAGATTACATTTAGAAATTTGCAAATCAATTTCCATAAAAATCAGTAAAACAATGATTTAAAATGTGCAAATATTTTCTGAATGTTCTCCTACATCCATTGTAAATGGCCCCTAAATATATGCTTATTATGTAAAGCTTTCTTTATGATAAAAATACAAATTCTATTTGTTTAAAAAAGCCATTAATATGGCTACTAAACATCCTTGTTGTACAAACTGCAAAATACTATTTGATGAACAAAATTATAGATGTGTGTCTCTATGATACAGAGCCTATTCTACTCATTAGTGATCTCATATATATCTATATTGACAGGCACATGGGCCAATATCCAAAGAGTCATTTTCTATTTTCTCTTATTGCCGATGGCCCTGTTTCTTCTCACCCTGCCCATTACCCCATAAAATAATGGAGCCTTCTGGACTGACTTTTAATATGATGGGAGGATCTGTAGCCAGAAGGGAAGTAGGAAATCAGGTGCACTGTAGAAATGCATTCCATCCTCTTTGGATTCAGGCATAGATATAGATACACATGCAAATACAAAAGAAGAACCAAATAATAAAGGAAGGCTTAACACAAATCAGAGTATAGGAAAGACTCAGTAAGGCTATACAGCTAGACAGCTGTCTAATTTTAAGCATGTAAAGAATTCCTAGGCATCTGCTTAAGTATTTTTTTGAGATTGGAACAAAGCTTTAAAAAGTAAATACCATTGCATAAATGTTTTCTTTTTATGTTGTGAACACACATGTAAACCTTGCAATATAATGTAAGAAACTACTCTTTTGCAAACCAAGTACCGGACCATTAGGGTGTTTTCCCCTGAAAAATAAAGTGAGCAAAATAATTTCTTAGGTTTCTTTCCCATTTCTCCTGAGCACTTCTCTTTATCTTTCTTTATATAAAAAAAAGCATTTCCCCCTGTCTTCTTTACAGTGAAAGGCTCCTTACAGGAGAGAAAAACTTTCCGAGAAAGGTAAACAAGTTTTTGTACATGTACACTTTTGATAAAAATGGAAAATGGAAAAAAATGAACAAGCAACTTAATTTATGAATACAAAGAAATGCACAACCAAAATTTCATTTATTGCTATGCAGAGACAAAGTTATCTCAGTAATAAGCTCCCTTGCAGAAGTTATAAACCTAATCTTCCTTCATTAAGAATCTACCTTAAATTCTTTTATCTTGATTTCTTGTGTGATAGTAATTTGTAATTTTTTCATTAGGATTCAAAATGAAATTGTTTATCCATTTGTCACCCTTATATTCCAAGTGGTTTGAACAGGATTATCAGGTGACAATCCTAGGCAGGTTAAATCCAAACAGTACAATTGCATCAATGGTCTCAGATCACTTTCCAAAATATGTGTGGTTTAGGTTTTGAATGCCATCACTATAGTAATGGAATCTTTGCAATTAAAGTGAGAAGTTGCCATTTACACAGCAATTTAACATGCACCACAAGCAGTGCCCTTAAGCATGCACACTTTTAATTAACTTTCACAATAGGATTTTCAAATAACTATGTTGAGAAATACCATGTTGGGCCTCCATTCTAAAAATAGTGTGTAACATTGGGAATGTTTCTATGTACACATGGATGTGTTTGTGTGTGTTCAAAATAGCTAGTTATTGTATGACTTACTGAAAAATTCAGTTCTTGTGTATAAATTTCCGAGTACCTTCTGAAATGTGAAAAATCTAATCAAAGTTTTATACATCTTTAGGGAGTGCTTTTTAAATTACAAAATAATATAAAATAATTGGTATATTAATAATTGGTATAGTTAAGAGATTAGATATCGCAATTGTAAAAATATTAATCTATTTCATTTAGTAGATGCATGTTAAATACAATGCACCTAAAAAGCATAGAGGCTGCCTTTAACATTTACTTCTAAGTCAGAAATGCTGTGCACTCACAAAATTAACATATATTGGGGGCACTGCAATTCATTAGAAACCTAGCTTGATTTATGGTCCTTAATAACAATTTATTAGGAAGGTATGTTATATAAATTCAGATTATATAGACTGGAACTATGGTTTTCAGTCTCACTGTAATTGTTTACAGGAATGTGTAAATAGTTACATTTTTATTTTTTTATTAAATGTGTTTGTTTCGCTGTGAGGCGACTCTGGGTATTTTACAACATTATTTGATATTGGCAACAGTATTTGTGTGGAATTAAGAAAGCAATTGTGGGGATTTTATTTTGAAAGTTGTTGTTTTCAATCATAGTTCCAAATGCTTGTTTGTTATCTGAAAGTGATGTGCAAGGAAGTTTAAAAAGACTTCTCGATGGGTTCCCATGCTGTACAAGTGAGTTGCCAAAAGATACAAAGGATGACCTGAAAATATGGAAGACAAAAAACGAACAGCAGTGTCATTTCATTTTAGCTTTCTGTATATGAGTAAATTTTCATTTTACAGGAATAATACTGCAACATCTGGAGTTTTGAAGAAGCAAATCTCACAGAAGATAATATGTTGAGAAACATTTTTGGCACATCAATAATATTTGTAATACATTTTAAATTTTTGTAAAAAGAAATTATTTTTAAATGTCTATTCCTGACAATCAGCACTTGCTGTCTAGAGGATCAAGGCAAAACACTGTGCCTTCCAGAGTCAGTCCCATTTTGAACCCCTCCTGGAACAGAGTAAGAACAAAGAATAAAGTAAGACACCATATCTCAGTATTAAAAAAAATAACTTGTGTAATTTCAGATCTAAAAACATTTGCAATGTTCTGATTTACATATATGTTTTTCCTGGTTATTGGGTAGGTGATTATCTATGTCTCATATTTTGCACGACACATTTGGAGAGAATGGAGATCTCTCCATGTACATTTTGACTTCATGATACTTATGCTTGCTTTCAAGCAAGACTAGATTGTTCCAACGTTTTTAAGAAATTGGAATCCATCCTTATAATAGACCACTTGACCATTATATTGCATCAAAATATGTAGCTCTTCAACTATAAGGCAGAAATTTTACTGTATATGATTTGCTATGGTAGCCAGCCCTCTGCTCAATGCTCTAATATGGCAAAGTGTCCTGCACTAGAATTAGCCAATGAGTTTTTTTGCACAATAATTTTCAAGATACAAAATCATTCAATAAAGACAATTCAGAAACAATTCATTTATGTCAATATTTTTTAAATATACATGAAGGAAAGATATTATGGAGGATCTTATTTTGAAAAACTGTTCTATTCTTTTACAACAGAAATACTACCCAGAGCTAAAGAGCACAGAAATATTATTTACACAACGAAAGGGAAAGAACAAAGGATGTAACTTTTGACTTCATCCTAAAAAGATATATAGTTATATTTGAATATCAGCTTATAGAGAAGACGGCAAGGAAGTAATGGATGGAAACTGAACAAGGAGAAATTTAACCTGGAAATAAGGAGAAACTTTCTGACAGCGAGAACAATAAACCAATGGAACGGCTTGCCCTCGGAAATGGTGGGAGCACCATCAATTGAGACTTTCAAGAAGAGATTGGACTGCCATTTGTCAGAAATGGTGTAGGGTCTCCCACTTGGGTGGGAGGTTGGACTAGATAACTTCAATACCAACTGCCATCATTAAAATCAAATGTATAACATGATGTAACTTAGTAGAAATGAATTGAAACATATAGAGAAAATAATATACCAACCATCGCTGACGCTGCATATCCATGAAAGCACAAAGAAGAAATTTTAGAATTATTGCTAGTAATATCAATATAATGTACAGAAGTATAAAATACATTTAACAGGTAATTAAATTTAGCACTGGAAAATATATAAGGAATATTTTATTGTGCTTTTATTGTATTGTTTTTATCATAAAAGCACTATAAAATATATGTAGGTAATATAAAAATGTATAGAATTATTTCATATATTTAATGGATAATTAAACTTTAGTGCTAAGTTTGTAACAAACATTTTATTATGTTTTTATTATATTCCCTCTTGTATAAAAAGACTATAAAATATATGTAGGTATAACTTATAGATAGTTGGGTAAGTATTTTTGTGGCTTAAATCTAGCACATTTTCCCCAGCATTCACACCTGATATTTATATAGTTGTAAACATTAGGAATTACCTGCATCTCATCTAGTTTAGATTGGATGTCTGGAGGGAAATCTCCTGCTCCACAGCTGAATGGATCAAAAGGTTCTGCTCCAAAAAGGTCTCTCTCTAGAAAGAATAAAACATAACTAGTCAACAGAAAATAATGGGAGGAATGCATAAAAACTCACCTACTCAAACCACTGGCAAAATGCCCCCCCCCAAACTCAACTTTGTACTGAACAATATGCTGTATTCTGAAAGGGCAACCTTTGAAAAGCTGAGCTTGGAATTTTACAGCACTGCCTTTGATCCTGGGATTGATTTAATTTTCATTTTCTTGTTTTTCCCTGAAATGCATATCCAGGATGCAACATTAGTAAGATCTTCTGGCAAGCAAGTCTCCATCGGCTAGCTTGTATGTTTGGGCAATGACTACACTAGGGGTGTCAAACTCACATCATCATGGCAGCTTCATGTGACGTACCACAACTTCCCCCCTCTTCACTAAACCGGGCATGGCCAGTGAGTGATGCATCTGGCCTGTGGACTGGGAATTTGACATCCCTGGATAACACAGTATGCATATATTACTTTAAGCTACATCAAGGCATTCAAGAACTTACTGATCTCTGAAGATCTACTGGGCACTGGTGGAGGCTGGGTGCCATTGCGAGTAGGTGTTGATGGCTTTGGGGAGATGGGAGAAAATGGAACCATATCAAAGATGTCAGTGGAAGGAGATTTTGGTGTAACACTGCTTGCCTATAATAAGTAAAATAAATTAGGGCAATATTTCATAATACTAAGCAAACAAACAGTGTTGAATTTGCATACAGAAAGGAAAAGGCCGCATTATCCAATAAAGGTACATTGGAAACAGACTGAATAAATAGCTTTTGTAGCCCAAGGTTTATGAAACATGCCCTTTTTGCATAAATAGCAATTAAAATATTTCACATTTTGAACCTGTCCTGGGTTTCCTGAATGAAGTGAATTTTAAAAATAAAAAACAAGTTGCAAGAGAGAGTACAAACATGTTTGGAGTTAAGACAGAGATGCGCTCTTTATTGGGGCAAGAGATGATAAATCAGGATGAAGAGCTATCTTCTTTTATTAATTCCATATTCTGTAATAGTACCATTAATATTTTGCCAGTCTGATAGAGTAATTATTCTAAATGCTGGAAAATATTATGTTGAAATAATAATAATACTACTTGAAAATCGTTGACATCGACCAAAGTCATTGACAGTCATTTGCAATAGGCAGCTTTACTTGGAACAGCAACAAACAATATGCTTAACAGCATCAGGGGAAGTTCTTGGGAAGGACTCAATAAGTGGATAGAAATGTCAAATTCAGTCTAAACATCAAGCTGCCTGGGCAATCAATTACAATATATTAAATGATATCACCTGATTCCCACCGATTCTGAATGGCCGCTGTAATCTGGAGACTTACATATTAATGTCAATGCAAATATGAATCTGTTTATTTATGCTTAATATTCCAAGATAACATTACTACATAAAACCTAAGGGCATATTTAGGTTCAGCTAAATTGGGTTCAGCTAAATTTCTCTCTCCCTCCTCCCTCCCTCCCTCTCATTATGATGAATTATTACATTTGGCATTTATTATTCCCCTTATTCTCAAACATCACCTTGAATAATGATAAACCTAAAGCAAGAAAGAAATGTGTAGCAGAAAATCAAAGTCTAGAGAGGTCTAAAACACAAAATAGGAAAGCACCTAAATTGTTCTTCAAAATGCTTTGCAAAACATTCAGCTATAAATTCCATAATAGGATAAGATTTACAGGATTTATAATATCTGTATAATAATGGAACACATAAGATGTATGCAACTTTCCAGTTACCAAGTGGGGATGAAGATAAATTATATTTTGATTAGACATTAAGTGTCTTTGGGATTTTCCTTTGTGGGTCCCACATATTGCTATAGAGAGCTCTTGATTTTATCCAATGGTGTTTAAGGAATCTTTTCATTTCTGGGAACTTTATGATTATTGTGAAGGCTGCTTCTGGTGAAAGACATTGGCTTGATGGATTTTGATTAATTCTCCTTCAGTCCTCTAACTTCTTTATGACAGTTCATATTATTCAGATAAACAACAATTTTTTGCAAGGAAGGAGCAGGAGAAAAAAAATCATTTTTCCCTTACTCAAGTGGGAGAATCTTTTTATTTTATTCATTCATTAAATAAAATGTATAATAACCCAATAAAACAATAAACAAACTTTTATTTAGAATTTATAAGACAGTTTATAATCCAGTACTTTATACCATTGTAATTTAAACAGGCTGGTTACAACCACCTTGGGAGAAAATTCTACAGTCCTTGGTACCAATATGTTCCAGAGTAATATTTTTGTGCTAGTATAAACATAGCATTCCACTATTTACTATTGCAGGTAACAATAGGAACTCAATTTATGACTCTACATTTAATAACAATCTGGAATTATGACAGCTTTGGAAAGGATGCTTTACAGCCCGTAAAACTTCTGAAAGTTGCACAGTGTTGCACCACCATTCTTTGATCCCACGATCGTGATCTGGGAGCTTCACAACCTGCTTGAAGGTAACTGGTTACCAAGCACCCCACCATCATGTGATTGCAATTTCTGATCTTCTGTGCCAGCGTACCCAGAAACTGGGAAATGGAGGAACTGAAAGGGAAGGTTGCATTTTGCTAACTGCCTAGAGAACTCCCTTTTTTCTCTGGGGGCTGGATGAAAGAGCTAAGGGGTGATAAGTCTTTTGTGGGGTGTAGAAAAGTAGCTGAAATCTCAAAGACTTTGGCTGTTTCTGTATCATACCGAAGGAGTTCCCTTCTGTGCATAAAGGAGATGTGAACTCCTTTGATGGGTAAAGAAAAAGATTCTATTCCTACACCCCCTTGAAGAAATATTTTTCCATGCATGGAAGGGAACTTTCAGCAGGCAGCTCTTTTGACCAGCCCCAAGAGGGAGCCAAAATTCAAGCAGAGACTCGTCCCAATAAGGTAAGGGTCCTTCAGGAGTATGTGTGTGTGAGGGGTGAGGGGAGATGGAAACCCTGGGAAGCCTGGTGTAGACAGGAGTCGCTCTTTGCTCATGGAATAAAAATCCTACTTGGATTTCAGCAGGCAGGATTTTCAGTTCCTCAGGCGAACTTCTCAAAGTCTCTCCCATCGCAAGGAACCTCATGCTCCTTACCTAGGACTCCATCTGCTAAGTAACCCACATGATTTTTTAAAGACCACAACCAGGAGTGCCGGGATTGTGGTTGTTGAACAAAGCAGTCATATGGGCAATCACATGATAGTTCACTTAATGATTGTTTTGCTCAATGACCAAGATTCTGGTCTCAATTGTGGCTGTAAATCGAGGACTACTTGAATTGTTTCCTAGTTCATTTAGAATTTATTATTTCCTTAAATTATTTCCTTAAATGGCACTGTCCTATTTATACATAAAATCTTCAGCTAGTTTTGGTTCCATTTACAACCACAGAATCATTAATATTTTGGAACTAAAGAGGGATTACCACCCCAAAATTTATGTTCCCAGGACTCCATAATACAGAGTGAAGTCATTTGATGTACCATGTATCTATAACATAGATGAGCAAAAAATATGGAAGTTTAGACAAAAGTATCTCTAATATCCTTGATATTTGTCTGAACTTCCATAATTTTTGCACATCTATGTTATAAATACATGGTACATCAAATGGTATGTCTTACATTATGTACATGGTACATAGCATGATACATGTTATATTATACTCCATATTCTTCCAGATTTGTTCTGCCCTAAATTGGCACTGAACTTGTAGGGCATAAGAATAACTTGTAGGTTTCAAACATGATTTGAAAGCATTAACTAGTTTGGCATCTGAAGTACAGTTTTCAAAGATTTTCCTTGAGTTGATTTCAACAATCATCAGTTTTTCCTGAACATAGTGTGAGAATTATGTATTTTACAACTGTACATCCACCAATGTATCAAAACTCTTCACTGAAATGATTATGCGACTACCTTCCATTTGCACTTGAGTCCTGGGAAAAGATTCAGATTCATTAGGCAGCATATTAATTAACATTTACAATCTAAATTGTAAAAAATAAATATTGAAAAAGCTTCAATTTTATAGTAGTTTCTAAACCCTTAGAAAAACTGAGTATAACTCTTGATAGGCAATATAACAAAGCTAGCATGGAAAACTGATTTTCTTTCTACATAATTGATAAGCATTGTTTTCTAGTTCCACACAAAACAAGCCAATAGAATAAGCACAACTCTATTTTGTGTGTGTGCACATATACCTCAATTCATGCACACATGCACAAAGCATTCTAAATCATAAATTTGCTACATTTATCTCAACTGTAATGTTAGACTGATGAAAGCTATGTGTATGATCTAATCTGTTACTTTTCCATGTCTTTTCCCTTCCTCCAGAAAAGCAAGTTTCTGAAAAATGGTCCAGCCTCATCCAAATTAATCCTCATATCCCATGAGGCTGACAACATTTTAAATAAGCTTCTTCTAATCCACTTATATTCTTAGATATACATCCAATACATGAAATTTCAGTCAGATCCTTTGAGCCAAGTGTAAGCCTTAGCATTATATTATCATGAACATCAATAGTAGAAATTAGATTTATTTGCAATTTTATGTTATTTTAAAAGGGTGATCTAAACTGTATTTCAAAAGGCAGAACAAATCTGATTATATAACAGATGCTTTTTTCTACTATTACATAATGCACAGGAAACAATGGAGAATTAAAATCAGTTTATATACAGGTAGTTCTCATATTTAAGAATATGTTTCATTCCCAAGGTCTGCCCCTAAGTCAATTTTTGCATTTAAACTGGAACAGTATTATTGTAAAATACTGCATAAGTAGTACGATGTAATGAACTTGAATCATTGCTTATTCAACTTGAATTTTCTTTTCCTAACATCTTTCTCTCCTGGTCATTCTGATCCAATTACTTCTGACTGGATCAACTTTTTGTCCTTTGCTATGATCTCTTCACTTGGTAAGTTTCTTTCTCTTTGGTTATTCATTCAATATTTACCAAGAATAGCCAACTGCTAATTGCAAATGAAACTTACATGAATGAAACCCCCATTTCTGTTAGCCCATTTTTGAAATTATTTAAGCATGTTACAGCTCATAAGGTGGAACAAATGGTATGCCTTCTTCTTCATTTAGAGATAAAATGAATTTCACTAATATAAAGATTCATATCTGTTACCGACTTTCTAGGAAAATATATGCTTATCAAATTGAGTTCTCCAGGGATTTAGTTTAGGTTGAGTATATATGGGCAGGGCTCATACTATGTTTCATTTTGTGAAAAATATTTCTTTCTTTTTATATAAACATGTTATTTTTATTCACGTTATCAGAGACAAAGGCCTTAACATAAACTTTAAAAAGTAACTAGCTTTAGATTTTGTGAGCTTTATTTTTATATCTGTATAGTAAGGGTGGAAGTGTAATAATTACATTTACTCCCGCAACATAATCTGCCCACCCAAATATAGTAATATAGAGTAACAAAACCTTAATCCATAAACATTTTAAGAGTAATTTCACATTTTACAATATTATTTTAGGCCTAAGATGTAGGATGGTTTGAATTTTCAAAATGTTCATATTTTCTTAAATATATGTAAAATATCTGGTTTGTTTTCAACTACTGTGGATTAAGCAGCACTTTGATACAATTAAAATAC